TTTAGGGTTTAGGGTTTAGGTTAATCTTGGTTCGAACATAATATACCCCAAGCCTTCGAGGCATGGAGTTGCTATCGCGGATGACATTCGTGCTTCGAAGAAAGCCATGGACCCCAGCGGCCAAGGCCGTTGGTGGAAGGTGCATCCCGACCAGCCGAAGAACGAGGTGGGCCAACACTCCAAAGACCCACACACCAATGAGAAAAGATGTGCCGACCCCAAACTAGATCTCTTATAACCTTGAGCCCTAAACCCAAAAGTCCTAAACCCTGAGGCCCAACCCAGGCCCTAAACCCCAAAGCCTAAACCCGAAACCCTAAACCAACCCTAAACCCTAAGATCATTAATGCCTTCAACCCTAGACACAAATCCCTATAAACACCCTCCACTGAATCGTTACAATCCCCCATTCCTTAAATAGATTATAGATAATTTAACACTAGCGATGAAATCAAGTGCTTTATCGTGGGGTCAACCAGGACTGGGAGCTTTACAAGTGCTTCGACTCCCGAGAGGAGGTTTCGGAGTCCGAGGATGAACTCCAGTTTGGGGTACATGCCGACGTTGGCTTGGACCATGAGGGTACCGCGGGTGTGTTGTGGCTTGCCTTTACCTGGGACTTAAATTTAAGTGCTGTAGACTGTAGACAATTTGGCTTAATTCCTAGTAGATCCGAGATTGCATTCTATAAATTCGAAGGTCGGAGATTCTCGATGTCGGGGCAAGCAGTGGTGCACGGGGAAGCAATGAGGCCGCCCTCCCGAATCCGAACAATGCGACGAACCATCTGCAGAACCCGAAGCCGAAGCGAACCGCGAAGGCAAAGTCGGCAAAGCCTGCACCGCAAGAGGCTGTGGACTTGCTGGCGAAGGGCACGCAGCGCATCATCGAGGCAGACGGCATGGAGAACATGCTGCGCACCGGCGGCATGCACCTTGGATCGTACCATTAATACTATAACATAAAGTTAGCCAAAACCCTCAAAGCCATATTCGCCACAATAATTCGACTAGCTTATAAATCCCGTGTCCCTTAGAAAATTAGGCGATACAATCAGAGGCTGTGACCCGACCTTTTGTATAGCTGCAGCTTAAGGATATCAGTACAAGGCTTCAGGGTTACAGGGCTTGAGGTCTTCGGGTTTAGTGTTGTGTAACTACGTAGTTACTAATAAGGGCTTCCGGGTTCCAGCTATATTATTTATATATAATGTAGTGACTAGTGTTTATTTGGGTGGGTTGCTGGGATGCATATTTTTCGGCTTTCGCTCATAGATACTGAGGGGCGATGCATTTGCAAAAGCTATGGTTGCCGACATGCAATCTGACATCAATAAGATGAAGCAGCACCACGCGCGACTTCAGCAAGCGGCTACGGACAAGGTGGGTGACAAGGAGATGGAGAAGTTGAATGAGCAGCTCAAAGCGAGCTATGCCGTGTACGATGAGAAGATGAAATCGGTCAAGCGTGCACTTCGTCCGGCCCCGAAAGCAAAGGCCAAAGGAAAGGCCCAGGCCAAAGCAGCTGCCTGAAAAGGCAGATTTTAAACTTCCGGATCCGACGGGGTGATGGCACCTCTGACTGTGGATGCTCTGTCGAACCTGTCTGCATAAGAGTTCCTCATGCATATTCTAGCCATGCATAGCAAATTCTGGGGCTGCAGGCGGGCTAGAGCATCATGAGCAGTCGCCGGGTGCAATAGTTTTGCCGGGTGCAATAGTTTTGATGTGTATCCGGATCATTTTGACTTGGCTGGGCTGATGTCATCGCGA